ACATTTTCCAACAAGGTCCTATTCATCCGTTCTGCCACATCATTTTGTTGAGGAGTTCCAGGCACTGTCAAGTATCTCAAGATGCCTTCAACCCTGCAGAAGCTATTGAATTCATTTGAGTAAAACTCCAACCTATTATCAGTGCGTAGACATTTCACTTGCTTTCCGGTATGCTTCTTTACCAATGTTTTCTACTCATTTCAGGTCCCAAACACATTACTCTCCTACTTTAAGAATAATACCCAAACTTTCTTGGAGAAGTCATCAATTACTGTCAACAAGTAATAATAGCCACATTTAGATGGTACCATGGCTGGTTCCCAAAGATCTGAATGGATATATTCAAGTGTTCCCTTCGTGTTGTATCTTCCTTTAGTGAATCTAATTCTCTTTTGTTTCTCAAAGACACAATGCTCACAAAATTCAATTTTGCTAGTCTTCTGCCCATCAAGAAGCCCCCTTTTACTTATCTCCACCATCTCATTCTTATCATATGCATGAGCCTCATATGCCAAATTTTTGTAACTTCATCATCCGTCAAAGAAGAAGTAGAAACTGTTGTATCCCCAATCACTGTGGAACCGTGCAAAATGTACAATTCTATAGAGTTTTTATGCCATTTCATGACAACAAGAGTATCCTTGCTCACCTTCAAAACACCACCTTCACCGATGTATCTGTAGTCCTTTGAGTCAAGTGTACTCAAAGATATGAGATTCCACTTCAATTCTAGGACATGTCTTACATCTGTAAGTGTTCTGACAACTCCATCGAACATCATGATTCTAACTGTACCAACTCCAACAATCTTGTAAGGGGCGTTGTTTCCATAATCATAACACCTCTCGAAACTTCTTCATATGTAGAAAACCAGTCCCTATTAGGACACGTTTGAAAAATATAAGCCGAGTCAAGAACCCATTCATTACTAGATATATTATCTCCGTCAGAAATCACAAGAAGCTCTCCCCCACTTTGCTCATCCTCCACAACATCAGCCTCCGCTATATTTACATGTTGCTTCCCTTTCTTCGTAGTACCAACAACTTTATTTCTATTTTTCAAGGCAAAGCAATCAACTCTAATTTGCCCCTTCTTCTTACAGCAATGACATGTCTTCTCAGCATGTCTAGACTTAGATCTACCCCTTATAATTCTGCCAAAATTCATATCTTGATTCCTCTCACGCACAACCAAGCCTTCAGCATGATGTCCAGATCCTCCAACAAGATGCCTCATCTCCTCTTTAGATAGTAAAGCATCATAGACCTCATCCACGGTGAGAGTATCCCGACTATAGAGAATAGTATCCCTAAAAGTCACATATGATGGTGGCAGTGAACACAACAATATCAAAGCCAAATCCTCCTCGTCATTCTTAACCACCAATGTCTCCAAATCAACTACGATTTCTTTGAACATAGTTAAGTGATCATCCAATGACATACCGTCAAACATCCGGTGAAAATACAAGTGTTGTTTCAAGTGTAGTTTACTAGTCAAGTTCTTTGTCATGCAAAGTTGCTCCAACTTCAACCACAATGCAGCTACACTCCTACGTTGCTTTTCATCCTGCGTCCAGGCAGCGGGCATCCTATCAAAACCAAGCAAGGCTTCCTCCAAATCCATATGCACCAATATCGCTCGCATCTTCACTTGCCATAATGTGAATCTCGTGTTTTCATCCAACAACGGAATGTCATACTTCATTGTCGCCATGCGGAACAATCAACATTGTGCTCTGATACCACTTGTTATGAAACGGATCGCAAGATAATGACGATAATGAAGTAAAGAAGAAGAAAACAAGAACATAAGAGTTTACGTGGAAACCCAATTCGGGAAAAAACCATAGACGGAGAAGAATAATCCACTATAATTAATAGTTTGTGTTTACAATATCAAAGTTTCAATAATCTCAATTGAAATCTAAACTCTCAATCTCTCAATATGTTGTTGAAAATGTAAAGAATAATATATGAATGTTGTTTTATGGAGATACAATGTGACTATATATAAAACCTCTTATTTGAGTCCAAGATAGAGAATGAATCCAAAATATGCATTTAGCCATCCCAGAGTCCTCCTTTAAACCAAACTTCTAATTATTATTGAAACTTGATTTTCAATCATATTAGAACTCTACAANAATCATATTAGCACTCTACAAACCCAGATACCTTAGACGTCCTCCAATCAACCAAATACCAAATCACATGAAATTTGGATCACACCACAACAACAAAAATCGTTTTTGTTTACATAATTCGAATTCCATAAAAATCTACTAAACTTGAATTGGAAGTTATTCCCTTTGAGACGATAACTTTTCTCACCAAATTTATTACTTGTCAATAACCCCATACCTTTACGGAGTTTTACCGAACAACTTGTTTTTTAGAACATTGATTGGCGGCAATACACCATTATTTAGACGGCATTTTAAGGTGATTACTGTCAGAGCAGAGCGGTATGATATCACCTCAATGGCACAAAATGTCGTGCAAATTTCAATAGAGTATTTTCAAGTGATTTTTGTTATTTTATTCCTCTGGATGGAAATAAAATAGCTCACATAATTTGTTATATTCAAATGTTAAACCTTTGAGAGATTTTTTTTTTTCCCCCCGGCCATATTGATGCATAATAGTATTATTTCGTTGTTAAAAAAAATATTAACATCAATTCATTTAAAAAAAAAAAATCGTCTTTCTTACGCCCCCATTTAAAGTATTATAATTTAGAAAATCCTAGGATGTTACATTACGCCTTATATGGGTATTTTCTTTTGGTGGTCAATCGTGGAAGTACTAATATGAGTAACATTGTACTATCTCAATTCTTACATCTTCTAAATTCGTAAAATTTAAAACATGTTTCCCATCTCATGAAATCTCTAAGCAGATAATTAATGTCCCAAAGATATCCACAAACAATTTTGCTTGGGTTGAATTTTATCGTACTGTTTTCTACGTAAAGGATCAACTGGAGAAGTCTCCTCGAGGGTCATCTCGATTCAAGCCTATACAAAACCAAGTCTTCATCCAAATAGTTGAAACATCACTCCTGAATATCAATCTCCAATTAGAGTCTCATATTCTCCAAAATGTGGATTCCAACCTTTATTATATGTGACTCGATTATCCAGCTCGTTCAGAATCTCTCTTTACGTATTTCATCACTTCCACCTCGTCTTATCAATCATTCACCTTTTACAGTGATAATGACACTTATCTACACCTAGTTCTTTTCCTCACATCTCTTCTTCATGTGAGTCCTCATCTATGAAGCATCGACACGGACACGAGTGTCCAACCAATCGACACGCGATTTTTTTAAAAAAGTACTCATCAGTACGTTAATTAAGTTCTTTAATTTTTTTCATTTTTATTGTATAAATTTAGTTTTATACTTGTTATTAATTTTTCTTGTCAAAATCTTTTAAATATAAGTACCTATTTGTTATTTAATAATAACTTTGACTTAAAAATATATAATATTTCCGATAAAGAGAGAAAAATGATCACGACAAATTGTCCAAAAAATGTCAATATTCAATATGTATCGGGACACGGACACACTACTCTAATTGAAGTGTCCGTGCTACACAGGTCCCCATCCTACTTCCATTTATTTGTAATGGCAAATTCTTGTTCCACCTCCATTTGGAGGGAAAATGTAAAGTTGTCTTTAAATCCAAAGTTAAACTAGACCATTCAACAGAATGTCTAGATTAGTTGCAAAATAGTGTTTTAAGTCTAGTCTTCTCGTTGATGGTTTGGAAGACAATTAGATATTCAAACTCTCTTGATTGGAGATCTACTAGACAATGTGTTTACAGAGCAGCGATAGAGCCATCCATTTTCTTGTAGTATGGCTATAAACGCATCATCACAAATAAGGCTTCATTGGTTCAAAATCTGATACAATGATGTTTAGTGTCGAATTATAGAATTTGTACGGCTATTGTCTGATTTATGTTGACGTCATTTTGGAGAATTGAGTGACACTAATGTTTATTACACAACTCATGTTGAACCTGAATAGAGAATTTGCGCGCAAAGATTTAGACGACCTATCCTACTTGGCAATTAAAGTGCTAACCACAAGCTCTACTATACACTCAAGTCAGTCAAAGTACATTAAAGCTCTTCATACTGAGCTGAGATGCTAGATTGCAAGCCATTCTCCAGTGGCTACAAGACCAACAATCCATGTGATGGTGAAGGTGGGGATCCACACCAGATGTAATAATGTAAGATGCCTTTCAATTTTGTACAATCACACGACTAGATATTAGTTTCTATATCAAAAAGGCTTGTCAATTTATGAACTCTCCTATCCTGCAGACTGTCTAGCAATCAAAAAGATTCTAAGATATCAAAAAGTTAATAACAACTTAAGGTTTATATCTGGAAGCATCTGCACATTTTTCAATGACGGGGGATATTGATCGAGTTAGCTATGCTGATGACAGACGCTGCGCAAGTGGATATTGCACATATTATTCCTTTGTTAGAATACCCGGATTCCACTTTTATAGTTGGCCTTAAAAGATATTCATCTTTTCAATATAACCATCAGAATGTTGAAATATCCGGACCTTTATCAAGGATAGAAATTTTAAAGTGTAGCGTTCATGGGGTATTCAGAAAATAAATCATCCATGTAAAATTGAGAAACATGTTGCCACAAATTAAAGGACAACGTGTAAATAAACAAGAAACTCTGACGATTCCAAAAAAATAAAATGAATCCTACATCCATTATGATAGCAATACACAATTGTATACATGTATCTTAACGGTTAGTACCTATTAAGTGCATCAAAAGAGAAGATGCAAAAGCAAGCCGAAGTGAAATATTTACAGGACTAAGAATTTGATGTTTTATGAAAAAGAAATGAACTATGTTACACAAGTTTAGACATACCAAGATGGGTTTTGCAGCAAGGACGACCACAGAATCAACATTCAAGCATTCAGCCATCCTAAGTTGCTTCAGAAAAGCTTTGATATAACATGACAGGAAGTCCAGAATGCCGCAGAGGCAGCCCTTAAAATGGCTGGGTTTTGGTAAATCCTACCCCATGCACAACAATATAATCAGTGAGAATGGAATCACGCAAATTAGATGGCAATATACTCTACACTATATTTACAGAACAATGGACAATATTTGAACATCTTTTTCTTTCCTAAATGTTCAGTAGTGTACACATTAGCATATCAAACAATTCATAAATCATGCAAAGAAACAATGGTTTGAATGGTTAACAACTAGAAGTTTCAGGAGAAATACCAAATTGAGTTGGTAAAATACTAGAATATTTCATAAACTCAATCACAATTCACATTCACAATATGAACACCATATAAGGTTCAAAATGAAAAGTCCATTTCATAGATTGACAAAAGTTCATTCACAAATGGCCATTTCAGCATTTCATTCAATTTGATTTTACATTCTCATTATATATTAGCATCTGCAAGAAACAAATCATAGAATGTTCAGATACAATATGTTGTCCATAATAATTTATCACCAAGCAGAAGCTATAATCAATAATGCACTTCAAAAGGACGCAATAGGAATCAATTCGGAGCCAGGGATTGGATCCAGTGGGGACAAGTCTCAACTAAAGATTTAAACAAAAAAAAAAAAACTGTAATAACATAACAATAGTAAAAATGCTAAAAGTTTTATAGGATTTTCATACTTTGCTGTTCTTCGTCCACTAACTCTAGGAAATTATTTAATTAAAAATTTAAGCACAGAAATGATATTTTATATATGTCCACATTATGTAACCAAGTATATGTAAACCTATTGGTCTATTGATGTTAAAAAGGAAATGTATTGGTGTATCCAAAAGTGACCACCTGTCTCCTTACCCATCAACTCTTGGGCAGTTGCCAACTCCGCCTACCATAGACATAACCCGCAACCTCACACTACCCATACTCTTTGCAGACTCTTTGATGAATATCTCTTAGCTTTTTTCACTCTCTTATTTTATTTGTTTTACAAAAAAAAAAAAGTTCCCAAATTCCAGTGGGGGGCCACTGCCTACACTGGACCTCCCTCTGCCACGACTAGAAATGCAACTGATAAAGAACAAATTATTGTATAGCAATCCATAAAAGTATTCCAAGAGGCAAAAACATCAAATTGAGTGAATAAATCCCCAAGCGATTGCTTTATGCATTTCTGAGCATCAAAAAGGCAATATTTCAACCTTATATCGAGTAATCAAGCTCAAGAATTAAAACTAGTGGCACAAATAATTTAGAGATGAATGTTCACGTGCTTCATAAACAAGCTTCTATTTTACATCATTTCTTTATTTCTTTTTCTTATGATTTTACCATTTCGGATGCATTTTGAAAATGAAAATACAACCTTTCAACGACTACAGATCAATTTAACCTATAGTGTAATCACTATTAATAAGAGAAATTTTGGTTTCCTAAAACCTCACCACGCACCATCAAATTCGACATGATAGCATTCAAATAAGAACCAACTGGATAAACACGTGCTATTTATTTAAGATAGCTCGCTAGACGGCAGTCCAACAATAGAACCAGTAAGAACTCCACCTTAATAATAGATGGTAGTAGACTCTAGGGACAAGTTTGGTACAGTCATAGACAATACTACAGAATGGAGTTGTTTCAGTACTGTATAGTCCAACATACCAAATATGTCAAAATCAAACAAGCAATGATTTGCAAGGTTAATAACTAGAATGTTTCCATTAAACACCAAATCGAGAATCCAGACAACAAAATAATATAATAAAGCATTAACCCAATTGAAACCACAATGTGGATTCCGTAAAAGCTTCAAGAAAAACCCCATTGAATGGATTGACAAAAGTTTCTTTACAAATGGTCGTTTGACTCATTTCAGCATTTAATTTAATTTGATATTACGTTCTCATTATTTTTCAGCATCTGTGTGAAACACATCTGAGAATGTTCAGATGCAACATGATGTCAATCATATGTTATGACCTAGCAGAAAGCATGATGCAGAAGTCCAAAAAAGAGGCAATAGGAATGCTACAGATACAGAACAAACTACTGTAATGTACTCCATGATTTTTTGCATTTAAAGATGCTAAAAAACAAAGCCGTTAAATAATTCCTCCAAGAGATCACTTGAAACATTTCTCAGCAAAAAGTCAAAATTATCCAGAAAATATAAGCCAAAATTAAAACTAGAAAGATAACAATTTCCTGCAAGCTAAAACCATGTGCATTCACATGCTTCATTAGCCAGCTTCTATTTACTGTCTTCTCGTTCTTTATTTCTTCTTATGAACATAGCAACTACCATTTCTGATGCATTTAGACGACACAACTTTTCAAATACTTGGCTTAAAAAGGTCGACCTAATAGCGTGATATGGTGTAATCACTCTAATAATAGGAAAAAAGTTGGTTTCCTAAAATGTCAACACACACCACCCAATCATTATAGTAGAATTCAACATGACATTTTAACCACCCACCAAAGGAAGAAACTAGAGAAACACAAGCTATTTTATTTAAGAAAGCTCACCCAATGGCAGTAGCTCCCCAGGATGCTACATTATAAACAACTTTGCTTCCGTCCCATGCCTTCCGAAGCTTTCCCTTCTTTTTTATGGAGAATGTCTTGCTCAGAGCTGAAAAAAAACTTACAGAATGTTATGCCCACATCTGTTGGAAAGAACAAACCAGGATACAGCTGGTTCTGAGAGAGATCATATAATTTTTTTATTTGATCTCCAAACTTTGTGTAGAAGTTGTTGGAAGGTAATGGCAAAAGGGGAAAAACAATTTAACCCACCGTCCTGAAGCTGATTTGGAGTGATATCCTGCACAACATAAGCAACATTACATCTCAGGGCTAAATGAAAAAGGAAAATAAAAGGAAGAATTTCACTTTTATATTTAAACAAGTAATTATCCTTTTTCCATTATTTGTATATCATTAGTTCGTTAATCACATATGATATGACAAAAATTAGATGAAAGGGAGTAAACGTAGTCTCATCTCATTCTTAACCATATCTTGCAAAACTTATAATCCGAGTCACAGATCCAACAAATTAGGCCACTCTACACTCTGGAAGTAATATATTAGCAGATAGCTGAGAAAGTAACTTTCTTCGATTCACAAACTGCTTTGATTGAATTTTCAAGAACAAGTACAAATATGATCCTGAATTATTAATGTTTGAGCAAACCAATATCTTTGCTGCAGAAGTAATGGCAGAGCAAGAAAGAGAGTATATTTATGAATCTCAGATTATAGAACAAAAGAAATTCGAAGGAAAAAGTTATAGAACAAAAGAATGGACCCAAAAATTTCTTGTACTTCTGTCAATGCTTTGTCAAAGATTGTATTGAGCAGAGACTGAGAAAATTAGGTAATGCCACAGATACTATTTTTTTGAACTCAACTTACTCATTCAGTTCTAAATGTTACCAAATCACCCTTACAAGCATTCTTGTCTCAAATTCACGCAGCTATCTTATTGCCAACAAAAATGTCCCCACTCCAATTCATGAAAGAAATGAACTATTCAAACGCACCATTTTGGAGTTCAACATCCCACTTCAATTCAAAATACTACTAAACATTGTTTGGAAATACTTCAATGAGTAATTTTCTCCCTCATCCCTAAAATACTCTTCAATTTCAGTTCTTAAATACAGTGCCATACCCACTAACTGTGGAATAGAAAGAGTAGTACTGTATTTTATAGGTACCTGTATCTCACTCATTAGCTATTTTAATTTTTTAGGCACATCAAATTTAAAGTAAACATCTACTGCACTATCAACTTTTTTGACATCAGTTGTCCTACTTGTTTACCATCCCCCCGGATTTCTTTTGTATATTCTCTCGCTGATATAGCCCTTGTTTGATACACATTATTTCCAAAATTCATTTTTCTATCTCTTCTTTTCAACCACGCATTCTTCAATAAAATAATATTACACGCAAATTCTCAACTTTTTTTTATTTTTTAACCACACATTATCTCTCAATCTATTATTCTAAAATGCATTCTCCAGAAATAATGTGTATCAAACAAGCTCATAAACATGAAAGCTTTCAACAGTCTTGCACTAGTATTTATTTGAACACTGGACATGAAACCTATTAAAAATTCAAACAAGATTGCAGTGTAATTTTCGCAATTGGATCATGAAAATATCATGAAGAATTGATTCTTTCACAATTGAATCACAGAAATATCATGAAGAATTGATTCCAAGACAAGCACCAAGGAGAAACATTCTCACCTTAGTTTGTTTAATGGACAGCAGATATCCAGCCATGAAGCATGCTATACCCTCCAATATATCTTCTTGCCTAACTAAAACGTAGTCTTCTCTGTCCATCTCAACATTTCCACCTTCCCAAAGATCATTTTCACTTATCACATCCCAGGAACTAGCTTCCTCTGCATTATGGAGCATTGCAGAAATAATTACCACTTCCAACCTCTTAGCTTTTCCAAAGGAAGAATACTTTTCAATTAAAGCCAAACTCAAATTTGATATAATATCTTCATCGTATAATATATTAAAATTTAGAACTCAATTCTATATGTTTCGTGAGAATTATCGACTTCTAAAACGTAGCACATTAGTATTTTAGCCCACTAGCAGTCCGTGAATCCATACCAGCCATGGTGTGCGGAAGCAATGTCTGGGCATGCTCTAGTCTCTCAAGGAAATCATCACATTCAATTCTTGATTTCAGGAGATTGGAAAACTGGATACACAAAGGAAATGCAATGATTTAGTAAGTTGGGAGATTATCCATTTTCTAAAAAATGATAAGAAAAGAAAAAAGTACGTGTTCTTTATTTTCCATTTTTTCTTTATGGACTTAGTATACCAGGAATTGGATACCTAACCCTTATCAATCTCCATAATACTCAATATGTAAACCCTATAATCTACACTTGCTATTCACCCAACTATTCACAACTATTAGTACTGTATTCCCTTCCACTCCATCCGTATTCCATCTAACTATATTGAAGGGCCTTTGATGGGTAACCCCAAGGCAAAAGGAATGATTTGTATTGAAGGCTATTTTACCCAGTGTGATAATGAATCATATTTTTTAGCTTCATGTTTAGAATATTGATGAACTTTGATGTCAAAGATCAACCCAGCAAGCCAAGTTTCATTCTCCACAAATTTGGAGTGAGATACATGAATATCTTTATTCTTTATGTTCGAACCATTACTTTATAGATGGAAGCATACAAAACACAATAAAATCCTCGGCATCACATTCACAAGCTATATAGTCAAAAATCATAAATTTGTAATTGGATGTGTACCTTGGAGCAGTATAAATAAACTACAAGGTTGAGGACCAAGCTTTAAATCCTGGTCTTTCATTCACCAACAAACGAACCCACTAACAAAAACACACGAAGCATAATTGTTTCCCCTCAAACCAAATAACATCAAATTCCCAACTCACTGAACCCCTCCATCTAGAGTTTTTAGTTGCCAAACTTACTAGTGTGAGCTCAAGAGAAGGTGGTTACTCAAACTTGGTCACCATATTATTGACTTTGCTTACAAAATTGTTATTTTCAGACCTCGTTATTTTGATATTCTCTCTGTCAAGTTCTGTATATATGTTTGAGCCAAATTATTTTGGAAGAATGTATTTTGGAATAGTAGATTGATGAAAAATGTGTGGCTGAAAAAGAAGGAAAAGTTATTGATATGATGAAAAATATTAGTTTATCGAAAAATGTGTAGTTGAAAAGGAGTAGAATAATGGGGATGAGCATTTTAATGTGGCTCAAACAGGGCATAATCAATATTAATTTGATACCACTAATTTCCAGTTAAAAGTAATTGTAATAATATTAAACTAGTCTTGAAATTGGGCCAAACTAATTTTTCTGGTCACCTACTTCAAAAAATCAATGCATACCCTTCAGACAAGCAAATAGCTAGAACGCAAAAAAGAAAAATTACTCTTTAAGTCCTATATAATTGAGTACTCACGGTAACAGCAAATGACCGCAATTCTAAAAAGTTTTCTGGTCACCTACTTCAAAAAATCAATGCATACCCTTCAGACAAGCAAATAGCTAAAACGCAAAAAAGAAAAATTACTCTTAAGTCCTATATAATTGAGTACTCACGGTAACAGCAAATGACCACAATTCTAACTAGTTCATTAGTTTACAGAAAAAAATAATAATAAATAAAATAAAAGTTAACCTCAGCGACCTCGGTATCACAGCACGGCGCCGATGAGCTATCACTGGAGACCTCGGTGCCAGCAAGATCATCATCGCAGTCGGAGGTGAGCTGCTCGAGGGCCATCTGGCATTGCTCGAGCACCGCCTCCAGGGTTTTCCTATGAACCCGGACTCGATCGTTTTCCGAATTCTTTCGGGTCGGATTCTCACCCTTCACCTCCACCGCGTCCATGGTCCTGGCAAAGGTGAAAATACGCAGAAATCTACACACAGTAATACCAATTGGTATATGAGAAATTTTGATGAGTTTTCAGGTTGTTGTAATTATTGCTGGCGTCGTTTCTTTACAAGTTGGGTTTCGTGACGGAATTGGCCGAAGGATAAAGCTACTCAAACAGGAAATTGTGACAGGGAAAAGAAACACATACACGCGGCGACTTGTGACTTGCCTGTTTTTGTTTTACATTTTCCCAATCCTCCAATGTATGGTTGCCAACTGTATCTGTTCCCCATTCCCTATTTTTAATCCCTGTTTGTCAGGGTTTTTCAATTATTTCACGATTTTTCGGGAAAATATATACTTTTTAAAAAATTCCTATGAACAAAGAATTCAGCAAAGTCCCTAATCTTTTACTTTTTTATAGATTTTATCCTAACTTTCAGTTGGTGTCTTGAAGGTCCCAAACCTTTGAGAAATCAGCAGTTGGTCCAAACAAATGGAATTTCGCCATTACTTGACCAAGGAAGTCAAAATGTGATTAATTTTGACCAAATTAAAAAGGATAAAATTGTAACTTTACATTTTTCTCACATTAAATAAGTTAAAAAATAAAAAATATATATACATCATTCTTCTTCCCTATCCCACCCTACCACCTCTTTGAAAAAATTGAAAAGCTTATCCAAAAATTGTACTCTGCGGCACCAATTTGGTGGCTATGAAGAAAACGGGAAAATGGCTCCAATCAAATAGTCGATCAAGTGAATCTGGATAGCTGATGAGCTTATCGGCACAAAACATTCTTATATTTGGCTTTTAGTGTGCAAAATGTCCTTGCGTTTCATTTTTTTGCATTTTCACCCCTATTTTCATATTTCATTTGGGAAAACGTTGTTCTATCAATCTGCTGTTAGTTCCACCGTGATGTGCTTCATGATACGAGGACAAGTTCGAACAAAGATATGTTGATCGTTGAGGAATGGCCTATGACTAGGTCATAAGCGAAACGGGTCAAAAAAGCAATGTGGATATTTTCTCAAGTCACGATGGACGAAACATTGATCACGACAAGCAAATGGACAAATTTCATATTAGTCATGGGAGATGAAACGAAATGAAGCAATTTGATTCAAGCAATGGACGGAGAGGCTGGAAGGAACAAATATGCGACCGCATAGTGTATTTTCGATAACGAATTTTTCAAATTCCACACAATCTTCTATTTTAGCTAGAACTTTATTTTGTGATATCTTTTGTTATTTTTAGAGTTTAATTCCCTTTTTAATAGGATTTTAGGGGATTCCATATAAATATGGTCATTATTTTCATTGTATAACACACAATTTGAGAGATATTGCAAGGCTTATTGCTTTCTTCTTATTTTTCATTCAATTAATTCTGAACTTATTAAAAACTAAATCCTTGTAGTGTTCATCAATTTAAATAAAGTTTATAAGTTTTGATATCACAGGGTCCAGATATTATTGGAGATTGTCTTGGTTTTTTGATTCAATAATTTATTGGGTCGAGCTTTCAAACGCTGATTCTTGGATTTCTTGGATTTGATCTAATCTATTGTAGGTTTCATAGCTCAATTGTTCGGTGGGTTCGCATCAGTTGGTATCAGAGCAATGTTCCAAAAAATTAAGGTTATATCCTTTTCTTTTTTTGAATCTTTTGTTTTTCATTCTTCATGTTCCTCGCATTCTTCATTTTTTTTTTTTTTTGTCTCAAATCCA